CTGCCCGACGCTTCGAACGAGAGCACCAGTACACGATCGAAGACTTTGACTTCCAGCGGGGACTTAGTCCTCGTGCGAAACACAGCGATAGAGAAGGCCTTGAACGTAAGATGCGTCCACGATACCAAGGGCCTATGGTTGTTGTATCCCGAAACCGAGGAGGCGCCTACATCATTGCTGAACTAGATGGCACTGTTCTCGACAGACCTATTGCCGCTTTTCGAGTCATCCCATACCTTGCTCGAAGGTCAATCACGATTTCCATCGAACACTAGACATACCCTTCGAACGCTTGAGGGAGATGGAGCAGTCAGACACTCTAGGGGACGACGAGCCAGAGGCGTCCAGTTACCCGACGAGCTAGACGACGAGTCTTCAGCTTCAGAAGACGAAGAATGAGTCTGTCAAGAGACTCGCGCAAGTATACCCTATACAGATTCGGCTTTAAAACACATCATTCCTTTTCGCTTCAATTCTTCGAACATTGTAGCAACGTTAGAAACAAGATACTCATTATACAGTACGCGGACAAGAGACGTTACAAATTGGCAGCCACATGCGCGAGACATAGTCAGACACTACAAGTACAGGTACGGGACCCCGAACACGGACACAAGCTACGAACACGACCGGAGGATACTACGAACGAATACCTACTTCGACCCTTTTCCCTTTGCAGGTCCCGCCGACGGACCAGCTGCAGGCGGATCGAACGCACCACGCGCAATTCCGGTGGACTCGACGTACAGCTCGTCAACGCGACGGCTGTAGTACTCCTGGAGGCCTTCGAGCACCGCGAGCTCGAGACCCATCAGGTTCAGCGACGCCTCGACGTTGCCGACGCGCTCGGTGGTCGCAGTCAAGGCCGCCGGGCCTCGGCGAGCGAGCGGACCGGGGCGCACTGCGCCTGGAGGATCGCCGAAATGTCGATTGGCGGGGTCTGCGTCTGCGCGGCGTGCAAGGCCGCGGCGGCACGGGGATGGAGGGGCATGCGCGACGTCGAGAAGGCCGCAGAGCCCAGGGCCGGGACCGTGACAGGAGCCGGAGGCGCAGGGGCTGCAGGCTCCTCGGCGTCGCCGCCCTTGCCTACGAAACGGAGATGTCAGCTACGAACGACCTCCGGTCTTCGAAGATAGGAATGGACTTACCGGCACGGCGGCCTTACGAGTGCCCGCAAGCGTGGCGGCACCCCAATAGCACCCTGCTGGTCGTGCAGGCACTGATTGCATGCGACGGCGTCGGCCTCGAACACGCACTCCTTAGGAGTTGCGTAGCCCGCGGCGCAGCGGTCGCACTAAGGCACGAACAGTTAGTAGGAAACGGCGAAGACGAGAGGAGAGCACTTACCGCCATCGTCCTGTCACGGACGGTGGTCGCGCGAGCGACGTGACGTCGGGCGCCGAGCCGTCAGCAGGGGCCTTACGCTTCTTGTTTTTCTTCGAGCTCTTGGGCTCGGAGACGATCTCGACCTCCGGCGATCCCGCACGAACGGTCGAGGCGTCAGAAGCGGTGGGGGACTGAGCGCGGGACTTACCCTTGCCCCGAGCACCAGACCGGCCACGTCGCGGCAAGACCTTTTCCTCGCGAAGTTGACGAGCCGCCTCGCGCTTGTGAGCCTCGGCGCCTCCTCGATCTCGGCAGCCTCGCGGCGTTCGAGCTCTTCGGCCTCGGCGGCCTCGCGTCGTGCGTTTTCTTTGGCCTCTCGGGCCTCGCGAACCTTCAGGGCCTCGGCGGCCTCCCGACGTTGTCGTGCCTCGGCCTCGACGCGCAGCCGAGCTTGTTCGGCCTCCCACTGCTGGCGTTCTTCGACCTCCTTTCGGCGTGCACAATCGCGGCGTCGAGGAGGGCCCACTCCATGTGCCCCGCGCACTGGCGAGCCGCGTCGGGATTCACGTGCGTGGCGAGGACGAGAAGGCGACCCAGAGCGGTCGCGTTTCGGTGCGAGAGAGCCGCTCCCTTCGACACGCGAGTAAACCGGTTCTACGAACGCGGTCGGCATTTAACTACGAAAGGGCGGAGTAGCTGTACTCACCGTGGCTGCGTACGCACCCTCGAGCCACTCCTCGATCGCGTCCGGCTTCTCGGGCACGAGGTTCGCCACGACCCAGTTGGCGAGCGGGAACATGGGGCTCTTGGGGTCGTGGGGAACGGGGAATCCGGTCTTCGGATCCACGGTGCAAGGTTCGTCCGACGCAGAGGCGCCGGCAGGTTCGGGGGACTTGGCGAAGGCGGGAGCGGGCGCGGGAACAGACGAGGCGGACATGGGGCGAGAAGCGGGAGTGAAGATGGGCGAGTGGAGTGGGGGATTAAGCGAAGTTCGGCGGGGATCCCCCCCGCTATATGTGCGCTCGAGCTTTGTGGGTCCACCTACCGCATTCGAGGCGCTGAAACAACGGGGATCATCCCATCAGAACCAGTCCGAAACGGGAAAGAAGCGCTCACCTCCCGTCCAATGGGATTAATTCGTCGGATCAACGTGATCGAAGCGCGTCCTGCCGTTCGCTAATCGCTTCTCAAGTGCTCGCCATTGGACAAGACCTTCGGACGGCCTGGCGCGGAAGCATCTCGATGATCGCGGAGGCAAATCAAGCGCCGGCGTGTTCGAGCCGACCGAGGACGGTCAGTATCTCAGTAAGGGGGAGATGATGAGCCCTTAGCTCACCTACCCACCGAAAACGCCATTTACGGTTGATACAACGGTACACTAAGTCAGAACGGTCGACGCACTGCCCGTCCGTTCGAGGGAACCGCCCGATGTTCGAAGCTCAAGCGTCAATGTTCGGAACCCTTAGTGGCGGAGGCAAGCGGTTTAGAAGTGTCGCTACATTGGTAGGACTCCGGAGCAAGTACATGGCTACGTCAACCTAGCTAGTGACGCCCCCGGCAACTCTCGTATCTATGTCCTCGACCTCCACACCCATGACCTCCACCTCTACCCCTACGAACAGACGGACCGGTGTCGGAGCCACGGTCAGTGTTGACGCGCTCGAGTAGGCTTTCGAGCAACCCAACGAGGGTGCCGTGCGTGCGGCGCTGGTCGACTGCGATGTTGTGAATCACTCGACCCATGGACTCGAGGTTGTCGGGCAGCTGGCGAAAGTCGGACAGGATCAACGACTCGCGCTGATACTGCGGGTTTGCGAGAGGACGACGCTCGGCCTGGTTGACTTGTTCGAGCAGTACCAAGGTCTCGGACCACGCGATCGTAGGGTAGGGCGAACCTAGGATGTCTCCCTGGTTGCCATCGCGGTGAAAGACCTCGTCGAGGTAACGCATCAACTCGTCGATCTCGGGGAACGACCTAGGAGCAGGAAGCGTATCGTTCGCCAGCAGGATGGCCCGGCTACGGGACTCGAACAAGAATCGCTGTTCGAAGGTCGGTTCGATGGTTCGAACGATAGTCTAAGTTCGGAGGCACGTACGATCATCCAACGGACTCCGTGAGCCCAAGCCAGCCACTCTCCGGGACTGTTGGCATCGTATCGTGGCTCGACAAGTCCCTCGGTCTTGAGGACCTCTAGGAGGCGGTAGTAGCGGGCAGCATACGCTTCGGAAGTTGGGTCGAGGTGCGGCATGTTCGTGTAAGTCAGGCGAACTCCTGCAGCTGTCTCATATCTTCGAGGACTGTCACCGGCCCCGGTTATGACCTTCGCCGATTCGGGGACGGTCGCCCGTTATGCGGAACCTGCGGAAGGCCGAGTTGGATTCTCTCATGTGTTAGTAGGTCCGGGTCGGGTGTTGTGACATTCTCCGATTGGCTGCTTTCCTTATCACTTTCATTCATCATGTCTTGTATTTCTCTTGGCTCTCTTGGTCTTCGGACCGTATTTTCCTGTATATACTCTGGGACTTGTTCCCTTCAAATCTCAGAGACCCCCTTACCCTCTCAATCTCACCTCGCACCGGCGAGGTTCGTCAGCCAGTCAGTACGTTCGAAAGTCAGCAAGTTCGCCAGTCGGCCAGTACGTTCGAAGCCAGTCAGTCAGTCAGTCAGTTCGCCAGTACGTTCGCCAGCTCGTAGTTGCCCCGAGAGGCTCTACACTTCTTCTCCTGCCGTCGCTCGCCTTCCTTGTCACCGTTCGTTCGACACGTCTGTCGAAACCCTCCCTCCTACCTTCGAGGCTTAGCCCTCGCCTTCGAACAGTCTTCGACATCTTCGAAGCTCTCCCACGTCGTTCGGAGTCTTGTCCGTCCTCCTCCTTCTTACCCAGACCACTGTACAGTCCCCCGTACATCTCATAGACGCAGAGGCCTCACATACCACTGCTCGACCTCACAGTTGGGTTTTTGTGTGGCTTTTGTGTTCTTTTCGGTCGCGTCAACGTCCGGCATGTGCAAGAGGCTGTGCGGCGCAGCTCTCGGCGCGCCCCTTCGCGGTCATGGCTTGGAACATGGCGATGTCCGCGTGCTGCTGTTCATCGACCTGCTTCATGACCTTGATCCAGGTTGTGGCTCCGTTCTCAGCCAACTCTTCTGCAGTGCGTGCCGCCGTCAGTTTGTCCTTGGCCGCCTTGACATGATGAACGAAGGTGGACAACATCCCGGCCTCCATGACCTGGATGAGCCGGAGCGGCTCGAGGCCAGCATGTACACCCTTGAGGATGGAGTTCTTCTTGACTACGCGAACGCTGTAGTCGAAGAAGGTTTCGCTCTCCTTCTGGTGTTCCTGCAACAGTTCGGTGTGTAGGTCGTCCTTCCAGTCTGGGTCCAGGAAGTTGTCGCGGAGCTCGGTCATGAAGTCGGGGAAGGACAGCGCTTCGATCCGAGCACGGTGGCTTGAGACCCAGTCTCGGATGCGGACATCGAGGAGCTCGCCCAGAATGGTTGCGGTGTGGTCTTCCTCGTCAATTTTCTTCTTGTTGCGACGGAAGTAGTTGGTGCAGGCCTCCTCGAAATCCCATACGATCTCCGGTGTCAGTTCTCCAGCGTGGAGCGTCAGCGGTTTGGAGGATCCATGGTGCTCGAGGCGGGCGGTGCTCGGCATTGCAGAAGGATAGGTGATGAAGCTGGAGATCGGTGAACTGTCGGTGGAAGTGGTGACGGTTGACATCGGGGATGCGGTCCGTCTTGGCGGTGTTTGTGGGCTAACCGGGGGCTCGTTCGGGGCCTTCGGTTCGGCGTCCGCCAAGGGCGGTGTCCGCGGCGGTGAGGAGAGTGGAGATGACAGGGCGGTTGACGGTGTGAGGTCCTAAGACCTGACTATATGTGGTGCGGTGTGAAGCGGTGCGGTGGGTAGAGCAGTGCTCTCGGCTACGGCTAACGGTGCGGCAGCATGCGGTCAGTTGACCGCAGGCATACAGTAAACGGTAGGTCTTTACAGTTCTCGTTGAACTCAAAAAAAAAGTGGAACCCTGCCAGCGATCTTGCCCGGCAGAGAACACTGATTTGGTCGAGAGTCGGCCGTGAGAACTTGAGTAGACGAGATACTGGGATTGCGAAGACTACGAGGGTAGCGGATACACAAAGGGGAAAAGCGGGGGAAAAACGAGTACTCGACGAGAGCAGGGAGATGGTGGTTCGGAAGCAAAAAGCGACGATGACGAAAGGTGACGCCGTGGAAGCTAAACAGAACCAAAATGTGACTGAGCCGAATATGGTAAGTGTCATGTGTGGCTAGCGCGCTGTGAGCCGGCAGGCTTACATCAATCACTTGTGGTTGCTGAATGGGCTCTAAGTGACATCATCTGGGAGTCTGAAATTTGAAACTCAGCTAATGATGGCATAGTAAGTGTTACTTATCTCTGCTTATCTGGCACTCAAACAGTCACATGCGCTGTGGGAAAAACCTGCCACATTGGGCTCCATGCTAAGTGTTACATTCTCTCCAGTCATAAGAATGACTTGCTGGGGAGTGGGCCATGCATGGCAATACAATCCCAGTTGTATTCAAGTTGTCTGTCTTCTAGCTCATGAAATCATTGCTTGAATCTCACTTATCAAATGCATTGATATATACTAGTCTGTCAGGCTAACTTCCATGCTTTACCAAGCAGTTGTCAAACCGTGACAATAACAATAACCTCACATGAGTCACACAGGCCAAGTGGAAATCATCTGGCAGTATTATAGTAGTCACAGAGGTACTTGCTCACCATCCTCATTGCAATGACACAAGACACAAGAGCATTGAATCCTGAATATTGAGTATCCTAGAGAATCCATAATGTGCATATTTCTTGATCATAAATCTTTATTGATCATAGATAGCTATGCCAATATCTCCACACAGTCATTAACCAATGATATGTGTGGTTGCAGACTTGTTCTTGCCCAACTGTAGCTGAGCTGCCCTGTTTCACCATGTTTGGGACATTATGTACCGTCTCAAAACTCTGAACAATAATACTCCTTTACTATTGGGAGACTTTTGTATCATGGAATTTGTATAGGAACTGTTAATCAAGTCAATAATGACAATGATCAGAATCAATTGTATCATTTGAACTGAGTAGGTCATATACTTCCCTACAAATTGATACTACATTGGCTTAGACCTCCCAATGTCAGAGTCTGTTTAGGCCAACTATGCTGAGTTTGTTACACTCATGATGCCTTTTCATGAAATGTAGCTCATGCTGTGGAAAAGCAGGAAGTCACATGTGTCATGTATAGCTGCAACCTTCTAGATGCAGTATTCAGGAGTGCTCATCTGCATTTCTCTCCTCATCCCATAGCCTGACATCATTCCATAGCATGTTACTGTCAATACAGATATAGGTAACAACATTCTGGCTAAATGCATTAGGTGGGAACCTGATGTTGTTGCCTCATAATTTATACTGAGGAGTTCACATTACTAACAAATGAGGGCATCCACAGATTATCAAAGCTATGTTACTGTCAAAGTTTCCTGATTCATGACCTGAGTGATATGTCACAGTCATGATTATGGATATTCAATGGAGAGCAAGAACCTGTAAATAAGAATTTTATCATCAACTTTTTCTTGCACAGCAGCAGGCAGTTTGCAAGAGTCTTGCACCCTTTCATATGAATGAACTGTGGTCCCATACAAGAGTATGGTACTTATGTTGCAAAGTGCTGCCAGAGCTTTGGGTGAGCACAATTACCACATATATAGTACCTCACTGATTTTCTGGGGTGTTTGGGGCTTTTCTGAGCCTACACAAGGAGGTTATGTGGCCTCAGAATGAATATCCTGCACATGTTCATGCCTTGCTCCATGCATAAGGAACTATGAAGGCTAGGGAAATTATGGGAGGGTCTGTGAAGCAGGAGCTATCACACAACTTGAATCAGGATTACTACATATGGTAGGTGCCCTCCCAATTGGGAATCTCACGTTGGGCAATGCTTTGTGGGCCCAGTAAATACTGTAGAAATGATGGTATATTCAGAGTACATGATTGCATCAGTTCAAGCAACTGGCATATGGTGAATCATTAACCAGCATACATGCATTATATATGTACTGTGTCCCATTCTTGTAGTGCTATTGTGAGGCATCAAGAGTTGCTGATGCTCCTGCTCATGAACACATGGGTTATATCAGTGTTTATGTGACACAAATTGCATCTTTCCATAGCTATAGGCATTTGTGACTTTCTCCATCATTGTGTTTGTTTGCTCTGTGCTTGTATCAAAGGACAATCAGAACAGTATACATTCCTATACTCATTGATTCAGGGTGCTACATAAGGCAGTTGCTGGGGAAAATAGTAGAGCCACTGTGTTGTGATTGTGAATATATATCAGACATATTGGGAGCACACACATGGCTGTGTCTAGTCATGTTGTTAAATGTGCATAACTTGCCAAACCACATATGTACTGCATATTTCAATATCACACTGTCTCAATCCTCAAACATCAGAAATTGTGCTCTCATTTAACGCAAATCACACCAAGATATCATAGCTCAGTACCCAATGTGTTACTGTATCTTGGAAGCTGACTGGCCTTGTGGCACCTGTAATCAGGATGATGTTGACTTTATATGACCTGAAAATACTTCAGGATGGCTGCACTGAGGTCTTCAAATTTATCGGGAATTTATACAATTCTTCTGGGCCCAAAACAGTAGGTTTTGTCCTCAGAATGAATATCCTGCACATTTTTGACCGCATTGTTTTTCGCAGTCACATGATCAATGACGTGCAGTCGCAGCACTGCAGCGATAAAACACCGCTGCGAGTGTTGTGACCAGGGCCTGCCTTTACGATCCCTGAGGTACGAAGGTATCGTTCTTATGATGGACCACCATGAAACGCCTTAGTGATTCCTCCGGAATGGCAGTTTGTTCCCACAGTGCACGTGACTTGCAGCCACCCCGATATGCAGAGATAAGTAACTGTCAGTATGGGTTGCTTATCTGAGTCTGAAATTTCAGACTCCCAGACAACGCGACTTGCACCAACAGATACAAACAAATGCAGTGGCTAAGCGCTCAGTTATGGATATGAGGCCCATGAAACACCTTAGCAGTTCCCCCAATAAGGAATGGCAGCTTGGTGGGCCATTGCTCCAAGCGCTCACACACTGTAGGGCCTATATAGCCTCAGCCAGTAACAAATCATAGTATAGATAGTATGCTCATCTGATAGCCCTTCATTCAGAGAGTATACAGAAATTCTATTGAGTGTATACAGTGGCTGGCTAACCCAGGAAATGCAAAGCAAAAAATGCACATGTGCCTCTTCAGATTCAATCTGCTTGTTTATGACTCAAATATGGTCTATATGTACACTGCAATGTATATGTGTAGTTCAGACACTGTGGACTACTCAGTAGCTTCAATAATACAGGTAACAAGGACTATAATGGGTAATCTGAGCATCTTTTGCCATATTATGGCCCTTGCATACAATGTAATGGTAACCATTGCAGCTCAAGGCAATCATACACTTGTCTTTGATGTGTCTGTATATTTCATAGATTTTCTGCATTTTTCTGAGCCCTACATGCCCCTGCTTGTGTATGATTCCTCTTTGGGAAGGTCACATACTCCATATGGTAATTATGCATCCACTGCTGGCTTTGTCTTGCTCACAGACACAATCTAGGGATACATACCTGAATGTGTACTTACACTATGATCTTATAGGGTTGTCCAGTACATGAGCAGTTCCAAGAGTGAAGTAGCAGGCTTATATAAGCTCACTGGGGCCACAGCAACCATCTTACCAGGTTATTGAGAATGCTATCTGATCTGATGTCAAACCCATGCAATATACAGCTTCATTCACATTGCCTGGATCATTTTGAATATTGTCTCAATTTTCCGCTTTTTTCTGAGTCTAAACAAGCTCTCTTAAGCACAGTAACAGTCCGCACTTACATCGCTTACTAAGCGCCCATCAAGCGCCCAGATGCCGAGCTGCTCTGATTGGTGCAACAAGCCCTTTTCTGCCCTAATCAGGCAGGCTGCCGAGGTTTTGAGCTGAGTTTGAATCTCAGCCACAGGCTCCTTAGTGGCACTGTACCTGCTGTACTGTGGCCTCACTAAAATGCGGAAAATTCCCAAAATAATCTCTGTGATAGGTATGATGTCATAGAGTCTATAGCTGCTGTGACTTGCCCATTACCTTCACTGGTCATGGCACAATTCACAAAACAAAAAAACATGCAAATGCCTCTGTGCACATGAGTGCATCCCTTTTCACCTCAAAAGTCTCTCTTTTGAAGCCTATATGCTGCCCACATATTCTCTGACATGTCAAACCTGCTAAATAGGGTAGCTGACCTTCCTAAAATGGTAATTTTGCTTAACCTGCTCAGTCTGGGCTCACAAAATGCAGATAAAATCAGGGAATATTATGTGTAATCAGACTCATCTGTATTGCCTTGTATATGAAGGCAATTCATCTTGTATGGAGGCCCCACAATATATCACTAGTATGACTTGCCCAGTTGTTTGAAATTCAGGAAACAGAGAAACACATGCATGAATGTGGCATTTGACTGGGATACACTGACTGAAATCTAATCAACTCTTATAGATGTTATAGAGATGATAAACTCATTTGATAGCCCATCATTTCAAGGGTTGATCATACATTGGAGGAATGAAGAACAAAGGACAACATTTAGAGAATCACAAGTGACTGTGCAGATATGAATGGCTTGTTGTCTCTGAAACACATTGCCTATGACCTGTATAGATATGTGCATAGTTTACAATGCATGGATGTGTCTGGAAGTTGCACAGCACAGCTATTGGTGGGGAAAAATGGTAATAACATGCATGTTTTGATGTCTCAGCACTGGAATGACTATATAGGGAATCTTCTCCACTTGTAAATATGCTCAGGTATGCTCCACATATATCCTGGAATATTGTCTGATTAACCGCATTTTCTTGAGCCCAAAACAAGTGAATTGTGCTGCAGTAACAGTGTGCACTTACATCGCTTACTAAGCGCTCGATTAAGCGCCCGTTGCCGAAGCGGAGTCGTCGACAGGCCGGAATTCCGGCCTGTTGACGACTCCGGTCACTCAAAGGGGATTTTGGAGCACTCCCATTGGCTGAAATGGTGACAAATGTTCCCTTTTAAAGTAATCTTTCAGTCTCAGCTCTTCATGCCGAGTTTTTGATGGCTTCAAGCCACACTAACTGAGCTCTTACTAAACCCCATTAAATGCAGAAAGTCCCAAAATATTGCTTCTCCATGGAATGCCCCTTGAGTACTGACAAGGGTGCCCAGATTAGGTGTTCTTGTTGTTTTTCACAGAGTACTGACCTTGGCAAGTGATACTGGGGATATAAGCAAATGTTGGTGTGTGTATGATGCTTGTACAAGACAGTTCCACATGTATGGGCTATGTGAGGTGGAGGATATCAAACATACAAAACTGCCATATATGGTTAGTCCCCTGCCCATTTGGGAAGTTGGCCATGCATGGCCTCTGCAGGACTGGATAAATAGCAGGAAAATCAGAGAAAATTAGATAGTACTATGGTTTGTATTGGGTTGACTGTTGAGGCCATATGGCAGACATATAATAATGCAGAGTTTCCCATGCATAGCCTGATACAAGCCATCTTTCATGAGTCTTGGTCCATCTTGTAAGCACCATTATCACCTGGAATTCTCAGGGACTGGCAGCTCCAGACAGGATCCCAGGCTATTCTGTTCAGTTCAACTCTTCAATAGGCCCTGCAAAGGCAGGCTATTGGGCTGAGTTTGAATGCAAGCCACAAGCTCATTAGTGACAATGTATTTGCTGTGCTATGGTCTCCCAAAAATCAAAAACAATTGGGAATATTCCCAGTCATGTATATGATGTCAGAGAGGCTGTACATAGTATGCCTTCCCATGGATTCATATAAACATGGCACCCACCATTCACAAAGCAAAATAAAATACATATTCCTCTGTACACACTGGTTCTTTCACTTTGTTTGTGTTTCCTGTGATGCTTGCCAACTGCCTATGGATTGTGTGGCTATATGAGACCTGAATGAAACCTGCCATATGTGGTACCTGACCTTCTCAAAATGGAAAGTCCGAGTTATCTGCTGTGTCTGGGCTCAGAAAATGCGGATAAAACAAGGGAATATTCTGTATGATTCCACTCACCTTGTACTGCTTGCTATAAGTATTGATTGGCTCATGTCTAAACCCTTGGCAGGCAATGGCATATGCAGAAAATGGTGAACACCTGTGGCACAAAGGCCACAGTTAATGCTGAGTATGTTCATAATATTGGCTCTGTCTCACATGTGAATGGCATAGCTATCAATATTATGGGTTCGCAGAGCTTTATGACACTGTACTGATCCTAGAAAGTGATAGAAAGACATTGTACAAGTTGTGTTGTGCATCTACTACTGTTGCTAGAAAGTCTATAGGCTAGCAATGTCATAAAGTAGGGACACCACACATAGGTGATCAAATGCTTTGATGGTCTCTGCAATGCTAGATAAATGGTAGGAAATGAGATAAAATCAGATGATCCCATGACATCATATTGTGCTGACTGTTGTAGGCCAATGCATGACAGTACATCTCAGATGTGCTAATGCAGAGTTCACAGCCTGATGTCTGCAGCTCTATTGTCCCAGTCCAGTATAAGCATGTCTTTGACTGATTGTGTCAATATGAAGCAGTGCCAATTATACAGTATGATGGTGCTATGCTTGGTTGTTAATTGCTCATATAATTTTTGCCTGGAGCATATCTAATGTCTGTATGCACTACCATCATCCTATTCTCATGCAATGGCCCTTGGTATGTGAAGATAGAATAGGCAGCTCTTGGCTTGTTCATATGGGCAAAAATGTATTGACAGTGGTGTCTGTTTGTGCAATGTCTACTATCACTCATATTGCAGTGTATGCTGTGATTTCTTCCTGATTGGGCTCAGAAGAAGTCATGGTTGCCATGGAAATAATGCAGACTTGCATTGCTTACTAAGCAACAGTGAAGAGGCCATATTACAATGGACTTCTGAGCCAATATATGGCTGTCCTTTTATGGATCTCTAGTCAATAATATGACTTTGGGAGTACTCTCATTTGCTGCAACTGTTTCCTTTTACATGTGATGATAAAATATCAGCTACTCATGTTGGGTCCTTTCATGTTATATGGAAAGTGGAAATATAACACTTTAGACCCAGGTGTGAACATGTGTGATATTTGAACAGCATTGGAAATTTGTGGCAGTGTGCCTACCAGTACACCATTTGGCAGTTGATCCTGGGTGGTATCTGCCATGCCAAGGAATGTCAACATGAAAAATATAGTGTGTAATCCAAATATAGTACCATACATTGTATGTGCACACAAAATAATGAACAGTCAGCCAGAAAATGACACTGGTGATTATCTTGGGAGTGTGTCTGAAGATATAGAAATCCTTGGACTTATGATCAGAGAGCATGACCATTGATAGTAGGCATTACTAGAATACCCAGGAAAGGCCCATGTGCAAGTCTTAGTATGCAGTCTGTTGTTAGGGACAAGGCATTGAAAACCCTTTTTCTACAAGAAATTCCATAGATATGGTCTTTGACTAGGGTAGGCAGCAGGAATTGTTATCACTCCTGGGCTTTGTTATCTTTATTCTAGATCCTTTTAATGGACTTCATTTGGGGTTCACAATGCTTTCTGACCAGATTTCAATGATCTTTTTTTCCCACATTGTTATTCTTTGTGGCACCTATTGGTGTATGTTCTGACTGGACTATTACCAAGTTTCTAGTGCCCTCCTTAGACCCCTTGTGACCAGATGCTTTGAAATATATTACTGGGGTTCTATTGGCTCAGACTATGTTATCTATTGATATATTATCCCAGCTGGCAGGCAATCTATGAGTGACTTGTCAAGCTGTACACTAATTCTGAATGTTCATAACACTGTGCTAGTGTTTCAGGACAACATGCAAGTGGTGTGTCATGAATCACAGAGCACATCCTTGATGATCAGTGAGAATTATTGGCACATCTACCCTTGCCTTACAATGAGCCTGTGAGCTTATTGTGCACCTTGAATGGCCTTGGAAAGTGGTGTACTGAGTCTTCTACTATTTTGTAGGATTCTATGAAGTATTTTATGTAGCTACAAGGCTGTGCATAAATGCACAAAAGGAGCATCCCTATGAGCAAGTCCAAACATTTATCTCATCTACCACTTGCTTCTGTACTCTTATGCCAATGTACCTTCAATTCATCAGTGATCAATCTTGCCCATGACTCTATCAGTCTTGATGGCACATACTATATTGCTTCACATTGTACTACATGAGCCCATTACTATTGACTCAGGAGCTGAGCTCCAATCCAGTAACATACCTTAGTATGGCTTTGTACTACTGGTCAGTGTCTGGTAACTGTTCACTTATGGTGAGAGCAAACTGCACATTCTTTGGTTGTATTCCTTGTATAACACATCAATTCTTGACAGGCCTTTTTCAGAATTCCTTACTGGTATACTTCTCCTCTGTATATTGGTTCCATCCTCCACTGTTGATTGGTTTGGACTTGGGGAAGTACTGTTAACAATCTACTGAAAGACATCCTTTGGTATCAGAATTTATCTGATCAAGGGCTAATACTTGTACAACAGCACTGACAGCAAGTCCCAACTGAGTAGTGGTTACTGTAGTCAACCCCCCAGATTCCCCTTCCTTGAGTTCTAGTTGATCTAGAGGCTCTCCTTACTTCTTTGCAACATTCCCAAGCTATTTGCTCTATGTTACTATCAATACAAACCAGTAACACTGCTCATTAGTATTCAGATCATATTGATAAGCAACTTGGCAATTTACCAAGTAAGAAACAGATCCATAATGTCTGTGTTCTCAACAGAGCAACAGAGAGTCTCATATAAATATATAATAACTTACTCAATTGGGATGTTGCTCATGATTGCAAGCTATGATCCTCATATTACAACAACCTAATAAATTAGCAGGCTACTCTGAAGTGCAACATGTGGAAGAAATGTCAGTACTCTATGCATAGACAATATACTAGCAGTCTTTCCAAGCATAACTTCTGATGTGAGCAGCATGAAGTTGTTCATAAATTGACATGTATCCTACCAAAGGGATCGTACTGCCAGCTATGGCCCTCTCCCCAGCAAGTGGATGGCATCCGGATGCATCCACCCATCCATGGGAAAACCATCCACGGATAAACCATCCATGCCCACGCTCGTCTGGTGTGACAACATGTAAGGCTGTGCTTGTAAGATATGCTGTCACTGTAACGCACTCAATATCACGCCCGCAGATGCACTGTATCCGATCTCTATTATGTGAGAGAAGTCTACAGACTGAGCATTGTAAGGCAAGTGATTAAAGAGTAAGTTGCCCAAAACAAGTAAGTGCACTGGTGCGCAATACGAGTAGAACCAGCAAACATAAGCAAACATACATGATTAGATATGCTGTATTGGGCAAGTCTTGATAACCCCCATTTAGGCCCATTAGACTCTCCCCCACTGGACTCGTCTCACGAGTTCAACTGGAAGATAATGAAGAGATCATGCCATGTGAACTTCTTGTGGCAGACTACTCACCTCAGGTCCAGGTAAGATCTACTACAGTCCAGGTTTCGGAATACAATAGTCCATGTGGTGGTCCACCGAGTTTCCGTGGACAATCCACATCCTGCAGTGACCCGAGGGAAGCAACCCATGTATTGAACATCCCATTGGATGTACACAACATGATCTCCCGGGATTGAGTATGTTCAACCTCTATGGTTGAACATACTGCAACATGCATGAAAGAAACATAGAAAAAGACGGAACATACAATCATATAGTGCCAGTGTACTACTTAACTGCACCTGAATGTACAACTCGAACCTATTCAGGGTACAGGTAAGCCTCAAAAAAGCGGACTACTACTCAGACCCAGAGTAGTAGTCCCCACTGTCCTTGTCGTAATCATTGTAGTCGTCCGACATGGAATATGCAGAACCACCTGATGCATTTGACGAGACAGGTGAGGCAGGCTCATATGAGTCTGACTCGTAGTAGTCGTCGGAGACTACTACAGAGCTAGCCTCAATGTCACCCGAACCATGGTCACTGTGTTCGGAAGAGTACTTGGAGTGATGGCTCGGAGAGTACTCAACATGGACATCTCAGTGACCCGACGAGATGTCAGAGACATAGTCGTCGTCATCCCACCAGCTCGCGCGAGTTGGTTGAGGCTGATGATGGACCACTATCTGAGTCCTGGCCACCTTGTCACCCCAGAGTCGAGCATAAGCCCATGTCTGGATGGTTCCGAGTGGCACTAACTCAGCCCACATTGGTGCATAGGCGATGGAAGCAGGTCGCACTTCCACAGTCCTGTGGAAGTTGTCCCATGCTCGCCTCGCCGCACGGGCATACAACTCCGTCCGAGGCGACATGCATTCAAGCGCATAGCCGCAGCTGAGGGCTCGGACCTTGAAGAAGGCCCATAAGTTCCAGTCGTGGACACCCATCACATCTGCAGCTCGCGCCAGGTCGACGTTGAGTCGGTCAGCCAAGAAACTGGTGCACTCAACGCGCCTAGCTTCGTCGGCTGGCCACCCGGAACTGTCGACACACAACATCTCCGAGCCCAGTACATCGCGATTTGATGTACTGGTACTCATTCCAGACAAGTGGTCACGAATTTTCGTGCCACTCCCTTCCCCCCTTTCGACCGTCTCCCACCGAACGGTACGGGAACTAGCCTGGCCCTTGTTGACCGGGGGTAACACTGTACTCACAGCATGGGTTGTTTCGAGTCGCGCGGAGTCTTCCCGAAGAACACGGGGACAGTGTGTGTGTTCCTCGGCGAAGTCATCTGGTTCCCAGTGATTTCCTGGCGAAGATGTATCAATGGTTTGTACACTGAACACGTCATCCGGTGCACTGGCCATCGACACCGGCTTCGGCCATTCTGGCTTGTGTACCGAGGTGCTTGGTCCTCGTGAATGTCGCCGTTCACGTAGGTCTACCAAACTCGGTGTGCTTGTACTTTCCCGATGACCAGCCTGGACGGCCTCCGTGGATGCTTCACGCACGCGCGAAGTTGTACCCTTGTATGTGCAGGGCGCCCTGGCCTTGGAGTTGTGAGCAGTTGAGGATACAACAGTGGGTGAACATCGCTGTTCACTCCCTGTCGCAGTTGTCGAGCTTGGCCATGTGGAAGTCCTCGTTGGATCGGGGACTTCTGCCATTGTATCTCGCATGCGCGAGGTCGGCTCATCGTGCATGTGGCGAGTATTTGACGCAGGATGGCTCGATGTAGATACATTGAGGCTGGACTTGAATGTCGACACTGGCGTGGCAGTCGACAACGAGGGGGCTAGTACTTCTGGCAATTCGGAAGTACTGGGCCTTTGTGCCTTCTCGCGTACCCGTTCAGTAGCCTTGGTTATTGATAGTTCGTGTGCACGCGAGGTCGACTCCTCGTACGTGCAACGGACACTAGTTGATGTACCCCGAGTCGGCGCGTCAGAGCCGGGCTTGTGGGCTGTCAACACAGGCTTAGCTGTCGAGGACGAAGAGGTCAGTACTTCCGACGATTCGGGAGTACTGTGCCTCTTTGGTTCCTCGAGTGCCTGCATGGCCAACTTGGTTGTTGACATGCTTGAGTTGCGCACACACGAGGTCAACTCCTTGTGTGTACGGCGGGCGACGGCTTGATCAAGGATGCGTCTCGCGGGGGGTTTGTACCGCTCGTACGAATGTGAGTCCGTCGACTTCCGATCTGTTCGTGCCTCATGTCCTCCAGGCGACACGTCGGTCGAATGAGTCACCAGGTCCGTTGGCGGAGCTGTCGAACGAGATGAGACCAGTACATCCATTGAGTTGGATGTACTGAACATTGTTGAGCTTTTGCTCTTGTGCTGGTCGACCAAAACTGGCTTGCGTGTGGTCGGAGCAGCAGCAGTAGTCGATGTTGACGTCGACGGGCCACTCGAGGTGCTTCTGAGCGCATCAACAGCAATCTCATCGCAAATGTTGGTCTCGCCACGTACCGTGAGCGAGGGGCTCACAGTGCTCGACGATCGAGTCTTGCTGGAGGGGGAAGTGTGAGGGTTCGCACTGCACGCTGATACGCCTCTAGGCTATCTAAGCCCCGAAAACGCAATCTAGGCCTCTACGATGCTCCGAAGCTCTTAGAAGATCCACTACAACTGTTCGAAGATTTCGAAGTTCGTAGCCAACCCTGGCTCACCTTAGAAGACTATCCACAACCTTCCGGCACCTCAGTGACGCTATAGGAGCACCTACCCACCTATCTAGACGACTCCAGAGCACGCAGGTCACTCGAAGATGCACTATGTGTTAGAAGACACTCGAACATGTTAGAAGATGTGCTACGGTGTTAGAAGATCTCCTGCGAGACCATAGGATGCTACAGGATGTCCAGTGAGTCCTTGCAGGTCATCTCACATCCTCGACGAGTGGTCTCGGTTTCCGGCGTCATGTGATAGCCGGTCGGCCTTCGGACCACTGGTTAGCGAGCCCAAGAGCAGTTGTCACGTGTTAGAAGCCATAGCCGGATGTTTGGGGCCGTCGGAGCTCCGTAGTGGTAATAGCCGTGTTTCCCTGTATATACTCTGGGACTGGTTCCCTTCGAATCTCAGAGACCCCCTTACCCTCTCAATCTCACCTCGCACCGGCGAGGTTCGTCAGTCAGCCAGTACGTTCGAAGTCAGCAAGTTTGCCAGTCAGCCAGTACGTTCGAAGCCAGTCAGTCAGTCAGTCAGTCAGTTTGCCAGTACGTTCGCCAGCTCGTAGTTGCCCCGAGAGGCTCTACACTTCTTCTCCTGCCGTCGCTCGCCTTCCTTGTCACTGTTCGTTCGACCCGTCTGTCGAAACCCTCCTTCCTACCTTCGAGGCTTAGCCCTCGTCTTTGAACAGTCTTCGACATCTTCGAAGCTCTCCCACGTTGTTCGGAGTCTTGTCCGTCCTCCTCCTTCTTACCTAGACCACTGTACAGTCCCCCGTACATCTCATAGATGCAGAGGCCTCGCATACCACTGCTCGACCTCACGGTTGGGTTTTTGTGTGGCTTTTGTGTTCTTTTCGGTCGCGTCAACGCGTTGCTGAAGCCATTAGTCTCGCCGAGTACATCGAGTGACGAGCTCTGCGTACTCGACAGACCTGTTGTCGTGATAGGAATGGGCGTAGTGCATTGCATGGGTATGGATAACCCATGTGGGTCATGGGTATGGGTATGCATGGGTATGGGTATGGGTAGCCAAAATCTGACCCATGTACCCATGAAACCCATGGACTTCTGCAGTGCTTATCCACTGGCAGTAATCAATGTTAATTCCTAGCCAGGTATTCAGTGTTGTGTCACTCTCATAGTATGCTAGCATTTAGGGTATCACCTTTCTGAAGCTTGCTTGAAAGTATTTTGCAATAGTGGCAGTATGGTAAAGTCACCAATCATTTCCCTCAAGACTCATTGACCATGCATGACATGGCTTTTGCCAATATTGATATGCTATAATAAAATACACAGATTGCTGAGGCCATCAAATAAGTAAATGAAATATCTAATGTGCATTGCAGTGTATGTGCTGTTGTGGCTCAAATGAAAAATTAGGAGAAAGCTTGACTAATCTTTTCAATGCACAATGATGGCTACTGCAGTGCCATGTGTTTGTCAGTATGGTGTAGCTGGAATGCTCTACCAAACAATGTGACCATACTGAATCCTACTTTACTTTAAAGCTGTCCTTATTAGACAGCTGGTAATACTGTGTAATGCTTAGTTAGTCACCTGTGACAAGGGATCCTGATGGAAAAGAAATCAGCATGATTGCTGCTACATCTTTCCTGTGATTCAGTTTTGTAGTTGTTGAGTCTGAGGTATATTCATCTGCTGACTGTTGACCTGTGATACTGCTATATGTAAACAGCACATGTTATAAGGCTCTGCCCATTGCCTCACTGTTCATATCTGGTAAAATATGTAAGATCTATTGATGTATACAACCTTGCTAGTTTCAATCCTCAGTTCTTGCGGACCTGCATAGCTATTTGTACTGTTATGGCACACTTGTATAACCACCAGAGTTATGAGTTGTAATACATACCTTGCTTCCGTGATCCTTGTGCCTTGTTTACATTGTTTTCCCCTTCATCTTTGCATATCCTGTATTACCTACCATTCAGTTATTACTTCAGGCAACACACTTGCCCATTCTATTGCAGTTTGAAAAGTGAGCATGACATGCCAACAACACTACAAGTCTACAACTTGGAAAAGGGTACACCCCTGTGTGTTGCTATGTTTGACTTTGATACACTTGGAACCTTGCTTTGACCCCTCCCATACCCACTCCTCTTTCTATTGTTCTTGCATGTATGTGGGACAAAAACTGGAAACTCCCACTGTTGTGATTGACCACACAGTCAGTGAACTGGTCTGAGGGGTGCTCATCCTTGGTCTTGCACATAGCATCAATTTATGATGAGAATTCACCAACTGTACAGTGCCTGACTGATAGTCTGGCCTCTGCACAATAAGTGACATCATATCTTGCAAGCCATTGAGCATGAACTGCACATAGGACTACCCATAACATTACCCATACCCATGGGTACCCATAATACCCATGCAAAACCCATACCCATGGCATGGGTATGCAACCCATGTGGGTATGGGTATGGGTATGCTCTGAGACACCCATGGGTACACCCACGCTATGCACTAAATGGGCGTGTTGGTCGTGCGAGACTGCACACCGACCATGCTGCTTGATGTGTTGATGGTGGCATCATCACGAGGGATGGTCTTGTTGTGTACATCAAGCGGGGGGCTTGGCGTACTCGACGAGCACACTTTGGTGGTATTGGCGGACACCTTGGTCATGATAGGGTGCATGCCAGTGCCCATGACAAGCAATGAGCTCGTTGTGTTGCGTGTTGGCAGGTGATGTTGGAAAGGTGGCGGCGATGGAGCAGGTAATATAGCTCGGCTTTCCGAGTCTTGAGTCCGAGTCTCAAAAACTGTAGTGCCCATACCGGTCCCTTCCCCCTCTTCCATTTTCAATCTTTGGTGATCTTTGGTGAAAATGTTGTATGACAACCTCTTCGGTTGTCGTACTACCCTGTGTGATCGTCACCGGAGTCGGTGAGAAGCCATTGGGGTTGCTGGACAGCGCGGCGATCACTCCAGTATGTGCATTGCGCGCGTTACAATACTTATCGGCAGATAGCACATCGAGCCCCGAGCTCGACGTACTTCCTACACAATGGATGGGTGTTGCATAAGGAGTAGGAGACATGCCAGTCGTGCTCATTTGCACGCCAGACACGTCGTGCGTCGTGACGCAGCTGGGCTCATTAGCCAGCTCGTTGCGCGTAGTCCGTGGCCCCGAGGATTCGCCACTGGCCACTTCAGTCACCCCCTATGAGGGCTACTTAGCCACATCTTTCTGACCACTAGGTTGTGGCTAAGTAGCCTTTTTCAGATGGTCTTACCACATGTGTGGGACATGTATGTGGGCCATGGGGTGGGCCCACGCATTGTTAGACCACTTGTATGCAGTGGGACGTGGGATGTCCTACCGGTCTCACCCGCTTGGGACCTTTGTTCCTGTGTTCCCTATGGGATATGTGGCATATCCCACTGTATTGTCACAGGTCACAGGGTGTCAGGGGTCTGTTGGGACATCCCATAGGTACTAAATATTGCACTAGCCTGCAATGTTATTGCTCAGAAGGGTCTTGGGTATACTTCTAGATAGTACCACTGAGCACCTAGAATTTGTATCAGCAGCTATACAATGGTCCATCCATTGTATCCATGTGTTATTGAATTGAAGTAGCATCACAGGTACCATTGGCACCTGCAACATACAAGCTATTGTGGGTAAAAGAGAACAATGGAGTAACTGGTGTACCATATTTGACAAGTAGTACTCGTGCTTTACATTTGAACTGTGGCAAAAGACACATTAACTGAATTGTTTAATGTCAGCTGATGTGTTGATACCCTGTTCATATGTCACATTGATCACAGCACAAACTCAATTACATCACTGCCTATTCAACCCAGTATCAGAGTTTGGGGGCATCTGTATAGGTCACATTCCTCATCTGCTGCTCAGTTGGATAAAAGGAACAATATTTGTTTGAATATAGCCAGTCAGTCAATGCACATGATTAATAATCTCCAGGTCAGGATATTTCTTCTGTTTTGTACAGTAGTCTCAGGAGTACAACAGCATGATGTAGTCCCATCATGATGGGTATTTAGTCCCACGACCATTCTGGGTAGTCCCATGGCCATTCCTGGTAGTCCCACGGCCATTCCAGGTATTCCCATGGCCATTCCTGGTAGTCCCATAGTCATTCTGAGTAGTCCCACATTCATTGCAGGTAGTCCCACATTCATTCAAGGTAATCCCACATTAATTGGAGGTCTTCCCACATTCATTGCAGGTAGTCCTGCATTCATTGCAGGTAGTCCCACATACAATTCAGGTAGTCCCACAGTCATTGCAGGTAGTCCCACAATTACTAAGGGTAACCCAGAGCAACAAGTCATAATTTTAGTTCTAAATCTACAAGCCTATCTATGTCTCTTTTTACTAGGGGAAGGACTGTCCATAGGTAGAAACAAAGTCTGATCATCTAGATCAGTCAGACCACTGAAATCAAAGTCAAGGTCAACTTCAGATGTAGTATGGTAGGCATCTATCAAGGCAGTTGCCTCTGCAGCATCCAAGAGATCACCATCAACTTCATGATCAGAGTTGCAAGCCCCATAGTCAAAATCACAGTCATCATCCTCTTCATCTGTGGAATGCTGATGTGATTCTGGCTGAGGATGCTCATCCAAGTCTGCAGACTCAGAGATCTCATAGAGTGCAGCCTCATTCAGCTGGCACTCTGAAGGACCCCATGATGCAGACATTGGATGAGCACCAGGGATTGCACTCACATGCTTTTGCCATGTCACGCACAAGCGACACAACTCATCACGACGGATAATGAGTTGGAATTCTAGATCTGGATCTTCAACTAACCATTGTCAGAGAAGATGGACAGTTATTGCAGCAGATCCACACTTACCAGCACCAGCAATAGCATGCTCAAGGGATCTCCATTCTTCCTGCATCCACTGCTGCATGGTACATCGCTCAACAGACAAGTGGTCCCTCTCTTCTATGCACCGGTCAAGTATCAGTTGAGCCTTGATTGCAGATCGCACCGCTTCATCGCCCAGCCATCGGGGGATGGCCAATTGAGATTCATCTGAGCCAGAAGCCCTGACCACAAAGTCGTCATCCTCCAGACCAACATCCTGCCAGATATCATCATCCACATCAAGCTTGAACAAGCCATTACTCTGGATAGGCTCAGGAGCGAGGGCAAAGTGAGGTGCCTTGCGCTGGCGCACCAAGGTCAATATCTGCTCACATAGCATATTGTAGGACTTGGCAAGCTTGAGTATACCGGGCTCCTGACGCTTGACTGCAGACTCGACATGGCTGCTCAGCTTGTGCTCTGATTCATTATTCAGTATTATTGACAACACAAGATATACCAACACATACTATTTGTGGTCTGGCGATAAGAGCGCTCAAACCGGTCAAGCTCGAACTTGCGCTGGTGAAGCCGGTCTTGGATGCGCTGCTTGAGGGCACATGCATTCATTTGTAGCTGCAGGTACTTGTTCTTGGTAAGACGAGCTAGCTGCGCACGCTCGTCCACACCGAGTGCTGCACGTTTGCGCATGATTGAGGTAACGATCTGCGCCCGCTTCCCACGGGCCTCTGACAACTGCAGGTCGAGCTGCTGATAGTCAATCTGACTGTTACCCACAAGCAGTTGCTCCTCCAGTCCTCGTATGGACTCGTCGTACGATAGCTGACTCTTCTGCAAGGCCAGAATAGCCTCGACCATCTTTGCTACTCGATTATTTGACCACTCTATTCAGCCCGAGGTAAGCTTCATACTTAGACAGACAGACGGGGGAACATACTCGGAGCTGGTTTGGTCTGTGCCTCCACCTGGGAGCGCCATTCGTCTCGGAGCTCTTGCAAAGAGAAACCAGATTCTTGCACCTCGTGTTGTGCAGTGCGCAGTCGGCTTTCACACTGGTACCACTTGCGGTGGAGCCAATGTCCGAGCTTTCACAACGACTGTGTATCGAGGTGCTGGACTTGAGTGTCAATCATGAACAAGCGCTGGTGATACTGAGGTCATGTGCGACAAGAGAATACGAAGATGATCGAGCACGGCCCCCAGACACTCGCAGTGAGGGAATGAGCCTCTGGATAGAGCTCCAGAATCTCTCGCATCCTTCGCCATCCGAAAGCCCAAACCCTGTACATTTGCGGGGGTGGTACACCAACTGACAAGGCCACTGATGCCCGAACACATGGAAGACAGAAATAGCAAACATGAGGCGGCTTGCGAGTGGCCCGAGAAATCCCCATTTGACAATACTTCGATGGAGTTGGCAGGCGATGTCGTACAGAAGTCCTACTGTGATGTAGGTTGGTAGATGGTCGAACAGGCGGCGCACAAGGACAAGGGCGTAGTGCTGCTTCTCGCCCGCAGAGGTCATGTTGACGAGCCAGAGAACTTGATTGTGCCAGCAGAGCATGGCCATGAGCCCCGTATCTGCAAAGAATTGTGTACTAGCCTTTTGACGGTGTTCATCCGCCGCAGTAAACAAGTCGTTACAGCCATCTAGCACAGAATTCGGGAGCTTGAGATCGCCTTCTACGATGTCGTCGCCCTCGGACGAGAGTGGTACACCTTGGCCACCACCCCGTCGTGTACACTCAACGATGTCTTCCATGGTCTTTACTTCTTCCTCGGGAACGAACACTGTGTCAGGATGGGCACGCGGCGGATCACGAGTGCCGGCTTTCCCCTTGCAGCACTTCTGCGTGAAGCACACATCCAGACAAACGATGACGTCGGGACTGCAGAGCGTGAGCTGCCAGAAAAGATACATTTTGCTGTGGCATGACTTACATTCCAGCTCTCTGGTGTGTATACTCTGAACCGAAACATAAAGGGCAACACGCGTGCAAATACTCGCTTGCACGCCGCGCGCCAGCAGCAGGCTTCCCTGTCGTAGCACTATGCCTCGCTGACGGACCGGCAGACGGTGCTGTATTTGTTCGCGAGTGATCTGTTATTCTGATCAGTATGCTTCGTACAAAAGCACTGATGATACTGCATACCATCATCGTATGAATCCTGCACTTCGTCCACATTTTCCTCCACATTAATGTCCATGTTCATGAGTCTTCTAGACTGCTGGATGACGTCGCTGACGGAGTGGTTTGTATAATTTGCGAGGTTTGAATACCACAGCAGAGTGTTCCAAAACACCGGTGCAATGATTCCTAAGCAATGCATGTAAGTCACATCAATACAGCTTTCGGTGAAGTCCCATACCCTTGATGCTAGCTTGTAGTTTCGGGACTCCAGGAACACCTCAAGGGTTTCGCAGAATGATGTTGTGTTGGGGGGGAGTCGTACAAAGAGTGCATGCGTGAATTGAAGGAGGGAGATGTCAACCGCGAGTGTCGGAGCCTGAGGGGCACAAGGAAACAATCCGCGAGCGACGAGTTGCAGAGCAGCAGGCGAGCAATGGCAGGTCTTGATATTGATGGTCTCAAGGTCTGTTGCTCGTTATGTGAGTACATCTGTCCATGGCAGTATATTCAGACTACTCACGATTGAAATAGACGCAACTCAGCGTCAACGAGCGGCTGCTTCTGCCCGCGCAGCTACACAACAGAGTGACATCCCGCTGTACGTTGCGAAGGGACGCGGTCGTGCGGAGTAGCCGCAAGTAGGGTTGGAACATGCCCGGTAATACCTCATTGACCCAACGCTGCACCTGGCGCTGCTTCTTAGCGTGCTCACGATCCCGACACTGATCCTCTGACTCCACAGCGTCGGCCACAGAGACCATGATGCTAGACATCAGATCATCTTGATGGGGCAGAGTTGGCTCCCGCTCCTCGCCCGCCAGCGGGGTCTCATCAGGGGCCAAGGAGCACGAGCGTGCAGGCTCGTGCGGGCGACTTGCGGGAGTACATTGAGGTCTTGACTGGCTAGGTTGCGAGTAGGTTCTGCCACCTGGTAATGCCAGTACAACATCTCTTGAAGACGGTAGGTACAGTCGCTTATTATTGAAGTTCCGCCGTGATCGTCTCACATGCTCGGGGCCGATTTGAAGGACGGGCCCAGTCTCCTGCGATGGGAAATCTACATGTGCTCGTGCTGGTGACCGACCTCGGGTGGCGCCGCCTGCTCCAGATGCGCCGAGAGAACGAGCCGCGGGCGTTGTCCGGGGCTCAGAGTACAAGGCTGTTTGCTGGCTAGATGGCCTCGAGGCACCGCGCACTGTGGGGAAGCCCCACATGTTGAGGTGGGACCGAGACGCGGGCGCTTGTGATGACACGGACACGTGACGAACGAACGGACTCAACGGACGCGCGTAGAGTAGAGCTACCTCAGTCGAGTACCACGAGGACGCGACTGAGGTAAGCTTGTTTGTAGTTTTATTCTCGGATGCTGGGCGCTGATACTGTATTCCTAGACTCTGTAACCTTAACAGGTAGTGTAACAATCAAGTCGAGTACCACGAGGACGCGACTGAGACTCTGTAACCTTAACAGGTTATGAGCCCCGTGTCGTTTTTTTTAGCCGCTTCCTCGTTCACCCCGACGACGCTTTAAGGGTACAACCACCCGTCTTCGACGTTCCCACGATACAACAATCGTTTTCACGCGCATATAGTCATCGAAACAACGCATACACTCACCATGTCGGACGACAAGGAGAAGGTCATCATACTTCCCGAGAACTTCCATCTGAGTCGCACAAACTGGGTCCAATGGAAAAGTAAAGTCCTCACCATCGTCGAGCTTCAGGGTAAACTTGGCCATCTTCTCGGAAAAACACCTGCTCCTCAGCCTGCCGGCGCCACTCCCACACCCGACGAAACCACAGCGCTTACGAAATGGACGAAGGACGACCTTCACGCGAAGGCTACGTGTACTCTCAACATGGACATCGAGAGTTGCGGGGTCGAACCACTCGGCTTAACGGCGGCCGAGTTCTGGAAGGCGCTGTTGGCGGTGAAGGAGAGGCGGAGCGAACTGGCGGTGCTGAATGCGGAGGAATACTTGAAGAAATGCAAGTACGTCCCGGGTGCGGATATCCACGCCCATTTCGAAGAATTACGCCGTCGCCGCAAGGCGTGTCGCGAGATGGGATCGCCCCTCACCGACCACCGATTCGCCATCATTATATGCCAATCCATGGGCGACGTTTACAACCATATCACTGCCGGTCTCCTTACGAAGTCTGACCCCGAGGACGTCATCCTGACGATCCTCGCCGTGCATGACAACGAGATGCTACGAACCGGGCAGCCGCAGAACCCTCTCGGAGTCACACAGACCGCGGCACCGGGCGAGCAACTTACGTCGGCGTTTATGACCGCGTCGAAAGCGCAGCTCATCTGCGACTGGTGTTTGTGGAAAGGCCACTCGAAGGAGCGCTGCTTCTGCGAGGGAGGCGGCATGGCAGGTCAACAGCCGGCTACCTGGAAGTCGCAGCCACGCCCGAAGAAAGGATCACCAGCAGATCTAGCCCACCCCACCTCGAGCGTTCCGACCGCTAACGTCACCGCGACAGCGTCAACCATCACATCGACTCCGAACTACAACGTGTTCATGGCTACCGCTACAGTCACGCACGCGGAGCTCGATACACCTGCAGGCACCATACGAGCGTACCTCGACTCTGGGGCCAGTCACCATTATTTCACCGACCGAGTTCACTTCTCCGAGTATCTTCCTTTAACTCCTCACTCCGGGAACAGTGCAAAACGTGGAGCCGACTTCACAATCGTAGGAGTTGGGTGCGTCCACGCGGAGATGATCATTGAAGGACAACGGTCGATTGTGACGTTCCGAAACGCGCTCCACGTACCGGAGCTCGCAGCAAACCTGATATCTTTATCGCGGATTGACGGAAGTGGATGCGATATCCAGATCAAGAACGGAGAGATGCGCATAGCTCGCCAAGGCGGAGTGAATCCCATCCTCATCGGGAAGATGATGCCGAACAACCTCTATGAAGTCGTCTTGACCCGCGTCAATGGGAAGTCGATCCCTTCCGAAAGCACTAAGGAGCCGAGCGCGCTAGCGTCTTTGACCAACGCAAAAGCAGCCGATGTCCACACCTGGCATCGCCGCTTCGGACACGCGAGCGAGCGCACTGTGATGGAGATGGCCAAGTCCGGCGCAGTGTCGGGCATGGAGATCGTCGGAGGCATGCCGCTCGGCAAATGCGAAGATTGTATCAAGGGGAAGCACCCACGCACCCCGTTCACCTCGTCCTGCGTCGAGGAGGAAGTATGTGAACGCATCTACATCGACCTAACCGGTCGAGCGCGTGAACCGTCGATGGGTGGAGCGTATCACGGGATGACCCTACACGATGGCAAGTCGTCGTTCGAAGTATGCGACACGCTGAAAACCAAGGAAGCGTCGGAGACCCTCGAGTCATTCAGCGGGTTCAAAGCAATGGCGGAACTGCACACGGGGAAGAAGATTCGTCGCATACGCACCGACAATGGCCACAAATTCGACAACGCCCTTTGGGAAGCCTTCACGCGTAAGCACGGGATCATACACGAGATGACGACGCCGTATACGCCGCAGCAGGACGGAGTGGCAGAACGCGGCCACCGCACCTTGGGCGACCACGCTAGGTCGATGCTGTTCGACGCCGGTCTCCCTGTGAGCCTATGGGCAGAGGCGTACAGAACTGCGACGTACCTGAAGAACCTGACGGCGTCGGCAAGGCAAGGCGGGCGAACTCCCTACGAGTCGTGGTTCGGAAAGGTGCCGGATGTTGCGCATCTACGAGCGTTCGGCTCTATAGCTTGGGCGAAGGTGCCCGACGAAACTCGCACGAAACTCGATCCGAAGTCTATACGATGCATCTTAGTGGGCTATACCGAGAACGCTAACTACCGTCTGTGGGATCCAGCAACCAACCGCGTAATCCGAAGCCGAGACGTCATATTCGAGGAGGGTCCAGGGCATCGGACACTGACCCAGGAGGCCCAAGATGTCTCCGTGGTGGTGTCCGCTGGCACACAAGTCACCGAGCCGACGGACGAGGCGTTGGCACCCAAAGTCGTGGAGCCCGAGCCCGAGCCAATGGACAATGTCAACGCCGCGCCGCCCGTCTTGGAACCGCGCGAGCCTATCGCTCCTCGTCGATCAGCGAGAGCGCCTGTACCGAGTGTGAAACTCCGTGAGTCGCGCGAGTCGGATGCGCGCGAGGCAGAAGCACGAGAGAAGGGCGAGCCATGGGCAGCTGACGGACTGGGGGAGTCTGGTCGCAACCTGAGCCCGGAAGGTGCATATCTGGCGATGTTCACGGAGGCGGTCCCAGTTGGTCATGACGACGGAGTGAAGTGGTACCGCGGGGGTAAAACACCGGAGACCTACAAGGAGGCGGCGCGAGAACCGGAGGTATGGACGCCGTCGATGGACAGCGAAATCAACGGCTTAGCAAAGATCAATGCTTGGGAACTCGTACCTCGCACGCCCGACATGAACGTCATTGGGAATAAATGGGTATACGCACGGAAATTCGACGGAGACGAGGGAGCCGACGGAAGGTGGAAACCGAAGGCGAGGCTGGTGGCGAAGGGTTTTCAGCAGATACCCGGAGTCGACTACTTCGAGACTCATGCATCAGTTGTACGTTTCGAATCCCTGCGTCTGGTTTGTGCGACGGCGGTTGTACGCGATATGGAAATGGCCCAAGACGACGTCGAGAAGGCCTACCTGAACGCGTCCCCGGAGGAAACTATCTACATGGAGCAACCGGCCGGATACGTCTCCAAAGAATTCCCGACGCACGTCTGCAGGATGGTGCGCGGACTGTATGGATGCATGCAGGCGGGGAATGACTGGTGGAAGCATCTGGATGAGACGTACCAGGACCTTGGGTTCTCGCGATCGCGGTCAGACGAATGCGTGCGGGCGAGGTTCGATGAGGACGGATTGGCAATCACCGCGACGTACACGGACGACATCGGGGAGGCAGCGGACTCGGTCGAGGGGCTGGCAACCGTGCGATCCGAACTCGCTGTGCGGTACCGGCTCAGCGGGGGAGGTGAGTTCAAGTACATGCTCGGCGTTTTGATCGAGCGAGACCGGGCGCAGAAGACGATGCGGATGTCCCAGCGCGCCTACGCCGAACGCGTACTGGATAGGTTCGGGATGAAGGACTCTAACCCGGTCCGCACACCACTCGAGCCAGGCTGCAAATTATCAAAAGAGGCTGAGCCGGCGACCGCTGAACAGCGCGAGGAGATGGAGAAGATCCCCTACCGTGAGGCTCTGGGCGCGATCATGTACCTCGCCGTTGCGACTCGCCCCGACCTCGCATACCCTGTACAGCTGCTAAGTCGGTTCATGGCAAACCCGAGTTACGAGCACTGGCGTGCGCTCAAACGTGTGCTTCGCTACGTCAAAGGCACCCTCGACTACGGGCTAACTTACGACGGCAACCACTCGGCAGGTCTTCAGCCCACGGTGTACACGGACGCGTCGCAGGGCGATTGCGTTGACACGGGGCGGTCCACGCACGGTTACGTGGTAATGATGGCAGGCGGACCCGTCTCGTGGAGCTCACGTAGGCAAGCAGTCGTGACCTTGTCGACGACCGAGGCCGAATACATCGCGGCGGTACACGCGGGGCAGACAGGCGTGTGGATCGCGAACTTCATGGACGAGATCTATGTGCCGATCGCACGTCCGGTGGTGATTCGGATGGATAGTGCCGGGGGAGAGAGCTTAGCGACGCGCTCGACGAACTTCTCGCGAGTGCGTCACTTGCACATCCGGTACCACTGGTTGCGAGAGGCAATACGTGGTA